GGGTAAAATTTGATTTAATAGCATTAACTGAATAGTATTGTCATATCCCATGTACTCGTGAATAATCTACATATCAATCAGGTAAGGAGAGCTAAAAATAAAGCTAAGCACAAGTTGAAAGTACAGTGATGACTCCAAAAGTCTTGCAGGATTAATGTAAATACCATGAGAGAAAAATAAGAAAAATCTCATACCACAAGGAGCTTGTGCAAGCCAAGAGGAGCCGTTATGATGTATGATACACCGGGATACTTTTTTGCAGCATCAGCAGCTAAGGAAGGAATATCCTGGGAAACATGCAATTAAATTAACAAGGCATAATTTTAATATTTTTCACAATAACTTGAACAAAATGGTGCAGCCATTAATCAAGCATGTAGATTAAGGTCAAGGGAACAAAGAAAAAATATAATAAGTTACCTAATGACAGTGCCGTCCAGGAAAGAGAAAAAATTGGCAAACCAAATCAACACAATACACATACTAAACTGAATAAATAGCATCAGAGCTAGAGAATTGTGCCCATCATCTTTTCAATACTACCTGGGGGAAAAACATCTAGACAACCAAATATGGGCTTTAAGAAGATGTAGCTATGAGTATCTCAAGTGTGCTTCAAGACCATTTGCAACTTTATAACAGCAGAGAAACAAAGTAGAAAACCAAGTGGTCACAAGTTACAACTTTTCAATTTCTGCACATTTCCTAAAACATAAAATGGTATGATTCACATCCTTTTCAGATCAAACAAGCGAGAAGTACAATTTCTACCTTATGACATAACTAATGATACTTTAATAAATTAAATGCCCTGTTCTTCAGAAAGACCACTGCAGAACATCTGCAGGCTGCCACCATCATGAGAAGAATATAACATAGCACAATATGGGCAATTGTTTTTCCATGAGTTTCTTGTAAAATAAACAGAAAACTAGAGTTTGTACATCTAAAGCAACATCGAAGAATGAACAACCAAAATGATCTGGGCCAAACCGAGTTAAAATTATCAAAATGATACAAACTAAAATTGGGCAGAGTAACATAACTTCTACCAACGCGGATATGATGATTAAATAATGAGATAGAAAATATTAACAAATCAGACTTGGCATGCAGAACACCTGAAACCTGATTCCAACATCAGCGCATGTGAACAAAATTATCAAATGAAAAATCTAAAATCGGGTAGAGTAATATAATTTATACCAATGCGGACATGATAGATTATATAAGGAGGATGAAAAATTTTAACAAATCAGACTAGATCCAAGAAACATATAAACTATTTTCATGAATATACTAACGCCTATATCTATTGCTATTATTAATAAACTTTTCTTTCTTGATAATTTTTATTCTTGTAATTTATTTAGAGTTGTGCAAAAATAAATATTATCAAAACTAAAGTAAAAATTCATAGAGAATTTAAAGTTTTATAAGAAAAACTTATGTATGAGAAATCTTAACATTAATATAAATTTTTTAATCATAACTTGAGAAAAAATAGTTATTATCTAATTATATCAAAAGTTGTTATCAAAATATTTTAAAAAATATTATTTATCTATTTATAATATTCACATTTATAGAGATTATTTACAGCCTAATAGCACCTATTAGGACCGAAAAAAACTTGAGAGAAAGATGAAAAGAAAAAAACAATTTCATATAAAAGACACACATACCTTCAATTAGATCTTAATCAAACCCCTTTGATCATCTTGGTTTTTGTCACCATTGAGATATCAAATTCATCACCTACGTCTATTAAGAAAAGAGTATATATGCAAAAATACAATTTTTTAACAGTATTAAGTAGATATTAAACATCAACTTTAAGCTAAAACAATTAAAAAAAAATACATTTCATCATAATTTCTTCTTGAACTTTTGCAGAAAACTCTTGCAAAAACAACATCATAAAACGGTAAACCTCTTGAGAAAATATTTATCTGTAACTAAAATAAAAGAATTACATAATAACACATCACAAATAAAATGAGAAAAGTATGAGACTCCTTCAAGCAATCCGTTTGACAGAATTCATCATCCACTAACCTATAAACTAATTTTACCATTTCACAATCATCTTTAGCGTATAGAATTTGCGAAGAATACTGTTTTGTAACATTGAAAACTTCAAATTTATACATACAATACAAAAAGAATATAAGATCGACTTGGTTAAGATGGTTATGCACGAGTACTCACGTACATTTGAGTTTAAAAAAGTTACTAGTAAGATAAGCTCAAAGCAGGTATAGTTCTCGTTGAGAAGCTTCTTGACTGATTCTAAGGGTTAGTATCTTGATTCTTTTATTAATATTGGTTCAATGCCAACTATTAAAACATTTGTAGCAACTACTTTCAATAATAAATTTGCAAAAAAAAAACCTACAATATTAGTTAATAAGGTTGCATTAAAAATTCAAAACAACTTGGTGATGAAGAATAAGGCATAAACAGATACCGTCAAAATATTTTGTTCTTCCCAGTCTTGACTTCCATTGGAAATTGCCTGTTAAAATAACTAATAAGAAAAGATTAACAAAAGAGGAGATGAAAAAATAAATCTTAGAGGAGAGAAAAGAGGAAGAGGAGGAGGAGAGAAGTTAGAAAACTTGAAATTTTCAGCAAAAGTACCCTCAACATGTATCAGTAAAGAAGGTCGAGAAAGAGAAAGAATGGGAGAAGAGCAAAGAGATTTGATAAAGTTAATCACGAATACGAAAATATGATAACCATCAAAGGTTAAAAAAAAATAATTATTTATACACATAAAATAAGATAATTAACTAATAAAAACTAATATTTTCTTATTTATTAATATTCAATTTTAAAATTTTTATAGCATTTATTTTTAATAATTATTTCATTTTAATTTATTTTCACTCAATAATAATAATATTTTTATAATAAAATATATCATATAACATCATAATTTAAACTAACAATTTCATATCTGTAATACAAAAAAAAACAAAAAAACAAAATAATAAAAACTCCAATAAGGGGAAAGAAAAAAAAATACTCAAATACTGTGGGGTCTTGATCAAGAAAATATATGACAGAAATCAAAACAAAACAGCAATAACACGAAGGAAAATATATAGCAGCAGCGTTAAAAGAATAGCGGTCATCCGCTTCAGTTGACAAAATTCATGTACCTGGGATTGAACAACTTTCTCAATTTGAAGTTTTAGGGTTCATTAGTCCACCGCCTCTGAATATCATATGCAGAAACGGGTTTGAGGATGAGCTCGGTCGGATTTTGTAAACCAGCTCTTTTAAAGTCTTTTTTAGCGTTAAAAAAAAAACTGTAAACAGCGTAAAAAAAAAATAAAAACTGTCTCGTACAATATATATGATATAAACTATTTATATTATTCTTATTATTTTATTTTATTAACTAACCTTAAAATTAATACATATAAAATAATTTTTAAATTCTTAAAAATTTTAAATATAAAAATAATATTAATGTATTAATATTTTATTAAAAATAAATACCATATTTTAATTTTTATAAAAATTTCCTATTTAAACATTTTAAATTTGAAAATAAAATTTAATTTTAATTTACCTACAAATTTTTTAAAAATGTTTTAAATATTACAATACTTATTAAATATCAATATTTATCTTAAAAATTTTATTATATAAATTAAAATATATTTATAATTCTATATACGATAAATTAACTAATATTTTCCTATTTAATAATACTTGTTCTCTGACAATATTATTCTATTTTTATAATAAAATATATTATTTTAGCTAATATTGTTATCTTATATACATAAAATAAAATAATAAACCTATAAAACAAATATTTTTACATTGATTTAAAATTTAAATTTGCATAACATTTTTAATTAATTCTTATTTATTTTCTGTTAATATTATTTTTCTTTTGTAATAAAATACATACTTTCGAATTACTATACAATCAACAAACACTCCTAAAAATAAATAGTAAAAAATTATAAAAATACGAATTAATAAATCACATAAATATAGAGTAATACATCCTAAAAATATGCAGTCATTATATATTTTCAAAGAAATTAACGAATTAGGAAAGAACATGAACAAAAAGATAAATATGTAACCCACTGCAAATTTCAACCATTAAAGAGGCAATATTGATTGATCATCAATCAGTAAAAAAACTATATGTAATATTTTTTTTTCAAAAAAAAAAAAGAAAAACCTACCAACTAAGAAGAAATATGTAAAAGTTTGACCAATAATCTGTTTAGTTCAATAATCCTTGTAACTTTTTAGGAAGAAAAATTTTTAAAAATAAAAGAAAAGGTAAAGATGTTTTTGCTCACATTTGGTTTATCTTAAATCTTTATGGTGACAGGATGATTGGATCAGGCTGAATAGGGGAGGTGCAGAAGGGAAAGAACATATGATTAACATGCAACGAAGGACAACAGATGAAAATAAGAAATCAGGAAAGAAAAAAGGGAAAAAAAATCCAAAATAATGTCAACTAGGACGAGAATTCTATTAGTTTGGTAAAATTAGTTTTGATGAAAAGTCTCCACTAGATTTCAGTGAAGATAAGGCTTAATAGTTTCAAGATGCGCTTAGCCTTATTAGACCAGCTTAAATTCATATCTCAGCATGTGTGAAGAGCAGAAAACATAATTTAATATATGAGGCAAACACCTCAATTACCACAACTGTTGCAACGGGGTTACCTGAATTACTAGTTGAATGGTCTTGCGTAATTGCCATGGCAGCTGCAACAAAGCTTGAGAAAAAGGAAACCAGAACAAAATCCAGGACATGTTTAGTGGAAATGTGCATCAATCTGACCAAAGAAATTTTCTAGACATGTAATTGCTTTAACATATATATTTCAGACACGAATACCTCATAAGCAATAGATCAATGCAGAATAAAGTTCAGATATCATAAATTATGCTATGTAGTGTTGATATGGTAAATCAATAGCAAACATCTAGAACCCATAAAAAAAGAAGAAATGTTTAGTTCCTTCCTGGTAAAACAGGTCCTTAGAATCAAAAGTTAAGGACACATCATAGGTTTACCAACATGGTTTCTACTTCCATAATTGCAAGTATCTTAGGAACCTGAAACTACATGTTTAATCTTTTGATAAGAGATAATGCGAGGAGAGGAACTCAAATTTAGGTTTATGCCCGAACTGACTAGCCTGCTAGTGCTTTCGTTATTAGTTCGTTATGGGTGAGGCTTCCAACATTCTGCGGGATTTATTGTAAGTTGTTCAGTAAGGATGCAACTTCACTGAAGAATATATGGTTATTTGGAACATTTTATAGTGAAAAATTACTCTGTTACCATGCATGTCATTCAAGCTGCTTACATTTTGTGCTGCTTCAAGCATATGCCCTTTATCATTCATATGACAGGTCACAGGAATCCTGAAACGTAACTTTAACATCAGCACATGTGAACAAAATTATCAAAATGATAAAAACTAAAACTGGGCAGAGTAATATAACTTCCACCAACGCGGATACAATGATTACATAATATTAACAAATCAGACTTGACATGAAGAACGCCTGAAACCTGATTCCAACATCAGCGCATGTGAATAAAATTATAAAGGGCATATGCTTTAATTTAAAATTCACCAAGCGTGAAGAGTAAAAAACGTAATTTAAAAAATTAAAAATTATAATTAATTATTATTTAAGAATATTATTTTAATTTTAGTAACTTGAGATTTTTATTCTTATTAGGATTTCTAACATTATTAGTGTTAATTTCTCATTTTTATTAAGATTAATATTTTTAATTTTATTAATTTATTATTTTCTAATCTATCTCTAGTTAGAAAAAGATATTTAAAGAAAATAATACAATCGAACACTTAAGTGTGATTCTTAAAACGTCTTAAATATGATGTTTAAAAAACTCTAGGTGCGATGTCTCATTTTATTTCTAAATCCCTGATTAAACAAATCAACATTATTTGTCCTACATAACAAAAATATCAGATGAGGTTGAAATTACTTTTTTGATGTCATCTGAGGCATAATGGCTTGAAACAGCGACGGGGCAAATGCACGGGGGCACAATGCATTATGTACGCGCTCACTGGTGAGTGTGCTGGTGGGCTTGCGTAGAGCACCCAGGTCCATCACTGCTGCACCCAAACAAAGTGCTGATTTTCTGCATGACGTGTGTATATCCCAGCAAATTTATTCCCCTGGGCTCCCTCCTTCCACACCCCAGGTACCTGAAAAATTGTTTCCTGGCAATTTAATTGCCCTTTTCTTTGTTCGGTTTTTTTTTTTTTTTTCTTTTCTTAATTTTTTTTTGTGGTTTTAATTTTCAGAAGCCTCGAGTAAAAAAAATAACAGAATGAAGAAAAATCTTACCAGCATAGCAGAGATAAAACCCTCTTCTGTCCCCCTCCGCCCCTATAACAAATACAAGAAAAAAGAAGAAGAAAACCAACGCAAATTCGAAAATTTCAAAAATGCTAAAAGAATATAATTGAATGTGACAGCAAGAAATGGGTCACAATAAATGAAGTAAGTTTCTCTTTGATTACAAAAACAAAAAAAATCCTCTCAGTAAATAGCTAACATTAATTAGATCAGCAACTGAATTCCAAGCAGTTACTAATAATGGTCGTTCGTTTTCTCTGTTTCACTATAGTCGAAGAAATGTATCTAACATAAATCTATACAGTCATTACCTAATGTACCACAACAACTAAATAAAAAAAAATCATTTAAGAACCTTCCATTTGCATCTTTGACTAAACTCATTGAACAAAGTCATGCAAATCAACAAATGGATTAACTAAGTTCTCAACATTTCCAGTGAAGAGATTACCTTCTACAGGTGCTGCATGTTAACTTGTGTAAAACCACATAGCCTACCACATTAGATCAGCCATTATGCCAACTTCAACAGAAGAAGTGACAAGCCTGCCGGTGCGCAAAAAACTAAACAGCACTCTTGAGCTATCAGGATTCAAACTAACAATTTCATCTCAATAATACAAAAAAAAAAAACAAAATGATGAGAACTCCGACAAAGAAAAAGAAAAAAAAAAATCACATACAGTGGTATTGATCTAAAAAACATATGACAGGAATCAAAACAAAACAACAACCATACAAAAGAGAATAGATAGCAGCATTAACAGCATAGCAGGCTTCCGCTTCGATTGACAAAATTTACGTACCTAGAATTAGGCGACGAAGTCATCAGCTTCTGTTATATAATAAGGATAAGAGATGAGGGGTCGGCTGCATTTTCCGAGCTTCACTCTTTTAAACAATCCCCTTTATAGTAAAAAAGAAAAAGTCATAAATAGGATTAAAAAAAGCCATCAAATATATATAATATAATTATATTACTGTTATTTTTTTTATTAACAAATAAAACTGAAAATTAATATATAATATTTTCTAAAATAATTTTTAAATTCTCATAAATTTTAAATAAAAAATTTCAAGATGTGTTTTAGTCATATTAGACCAGCTTTAATAACAAAAAATATAATTTAATATATGAACCAAACACCTCAATTGCCACGCCGTTGCAATGAAGTTACCTGAATTACTAGTTAATGGTCCCGAATAATTGCCATGACAGCTGCAACAAAGCTTAAGAAAAAGGAAAACATAACAAAATCCAGGACATGTTTATTAGAAATGTGCATCGATCTGACCAAAAAAATTTTCTAGACATGCGAATAGAATTTGTGATGAATAATAGTGGCAAGATTACACATTTTAGCATTGACAGCTGCCTTTTCTATTGGTACCATGATTTACTAGCAAAAGAAGCAAACTCCAACCCCTATTTTTCTTTTATGCTTATCTATTTTTGTTCTTGGAGTTTCCTGCATTCCCGTACTTGAAAATCTGCATGCAAAAGCAAAATAGCTCTTAATTGATCAAATCACTAAAAAAATCTCAGAGGCTTGTGGCCATCAGGTGGACCAAGAGCCTTGGTTTCCCCAATAGCAACAGATAAATATAGCATATACAGTGTCTCCCAAGATGCATTTGCTCATAATATTTTACTTTCTCTTTAACTCACACATCCTTCATTGCCAGGCGGCTGCTACTTGCGACAATTCCTGCACTAATAGTGTCACTAATCATTCTAGTTATTGGCCCACTAGTGAAGTTGAGCACAGTTATAAATGCAGCAACGCCATCAGCTTGTGTATCACACATCTGCGGCCTCGTCATGGCATATGGGCCAATTCCAAATATCCTCTGCACTGTGATCTTCCCTACAAGGGTGTGGCATTTGCATTACTATCTGTGCCACGGTTTTTTGGGTCGGCAACATTATTGTGACATACGCTCTGCCTGTAATGATCAATTCAAAACGCTTAGCAAGCGTCTTCAGCATATATTCGATTGTGTGCTTCATCTCTTGGATCTTTGTGTTCCTGAAAGTCCCAGAAACCAAAGGCATGCCTCTCGAAGTCATTACAGAGTTCTTTGTTGTTGGCGCTAGACAAGCTGCAGCTGTCAAGAATGAGTGGTTGAAACAGTTTGCGGGCCGTTTTTCTTTTATTTTCTTTGTACTTTACCGCAGGTATCGATGAGTGCTAAAGGTGTCATACAAGAATACCTTTGCATAGAGCATTGTTGAATAGGAATGAGTGCTAAAGGTGTCATACAAGAAAGGGTCATTGAATTTTTCTCCATGCAAAAAACAACAACAAATAATTTTTTCTGAGTAACGTGTCATAAGTAGTTATCATTATTAATGGGACAAAATTTGAGTAAATATAACTCCAATAAACTTTCGCTCCTAAATAAAAAAGCTGACACACATAAAGAAATTACTTTAATATATATATATTTCAGACCTTAATAACTTAAAAGCAATAGAATAACCCAGAATAAAGTTCGGATAGCGTAAATTCTGTTATATGGTGTTGATCTGGTAAATCAATTTCATATTTTCATATGAGCAAACATCCAGAACCCACCTCCAAAATTGTCAAAAAAAAAAAACAAAGAAAGGTTCAAATCCGTCCTGGTAAAACAAGGCCTTAGAATCGAAAGTCAAGGGCGCATCATAGGTTTACCAGTATGATTTCTACTTCCATAATTGCAAGTATCTTTAGCACCTGAAACTACAGGATTAATATTTTGATAAGAGATAATGCAAGTAGAGAAACTCAATTTTAGGTTTATGCCCAAACTGACTAGCCCGCTGGTGCTTTCACTATTAGTTCATTATGGGTTAGGCTTCCGACCTTCTACAGGATTTACTGTAAGTTATTCAGTAGGATGCAACTTCAGTGAAGAATGTATATGGTTATATAGGGCATTTTATAGTGAAAAGTTACTCTCTGTTACCATGCATGCCATTCAAGCCGCTTCAAGCTTCCTCTCTACTGCCTCATGCTCAGCCTGAATACGAAATGGAACACCATGCTCCTGATACATATTGTTTTGTGCCAGGTCTAATCAATGTCAGCTGCAGTGGTTGCAAAAAAATGATTGGCTGGAATCCATCTGGTTGTATTGGGGTCTACATCAGGAGGTATGGAATCCGCGTCCTTAAGGAACACAGTTGGTCCCTTCCCCTGGTATGCTCTAGATCTCCTTTTCTGATGGAAAGCTTGCTGCTGTTGAGTAAGAGTAACTGGAGCTATGCGATACACTTCTCCACACATCTCTACGGTTGAATTTCTCTTACCGACCTTGACCAATGGATTATTAAACGGGAACTCATCTTTGAGAGGATTTTAGCTGTGAGAAAAAGCACCATTTGAAAGGATAAATCAGAATTTATATAACAGGTCATGGGACCAAATTATGACAAAATGGCTAGCAAGCGGAAAACCTGAAACGTGATTGTAACATCAGCACATGTGAACGAAATTATCAAAATAATAAAATTTAAAATTGAGCAGAGTAATATCACCTACCAATGCCGATATGATAATTACCTAATGAGATGAAAAATATTAACAAATCAGACGTGACATGCAGAACACCTGAAACCTGATTCCAGCATCAGATCATGCGAACAAAATTATCAAATGAAAAAGCTAAAATCGAGTAGAGTAATATAAAGGACAAATGCTTAACACGCAATGAAGGACAACAGACAAAAATAAAACATCAAAAACGGAAAAAAAATTCCAATAATCTAAACTACGACAAGAATTCTACTAGTTTGGTAAAATTAGTTTTGATGAACGGCCGCCCAACCGCCCCGAGATCTATTTATCAACAAAAGATCCCTAGTCATGCACAAAATTTGCAGGATATTCACTGGATCAGTCCGCTTATTAAGAGCCAACGTGGTTGCCATGAACTCCACTGGAATTGGACCACGCTAAATGACTTATTTCCCAAGACGAAAATCCACCAAAATGGAAGTTCAAGCCATAAACTTCCGTTCCAACACTACACAAATTGCAGATACAAATACGGGACGACAACCCTATAAAATAAAACTCGGTAAGAGTAAAAACTCCATTCCTGATGATGTACACGGAGTAAAATCACACTCAGAAGCCACGCAGCCGCACTCGTCGCCTGCATAACCAGCAACGGGAAGAAACCTCATTTGTTCCTTTCAATAACACGTCTCTAGTAAACAACAACAAAGCAGGACCGATTGCCTCTTTTACTATTTTCCAAGAAAGATAAGTTCCACTATTAAATTAAATAAAGTAGGGTCCAAAAACCTTCAATCTGTAGCTCTACACTTAGGAAGGCTTCACCCTCGCTCCAATTTGCTGCACCAAGGAAAAGGTGGCAAAATTAGCATACCCTGTTATCTGTAGCTTTTTAACCGTCTGGCATGTTCTAAACGTTAATTTTGTATAACTACAAATGTTTCTTAAACAAAGTAGCAGCGAGAGAAATATTTTCAAGACAATCCAGGGTAACATAATACTCACATTCCGCGTAGCACACGTTGTTCGTGTAGATAGCCACTGGAACAAACTCCGTTCTTTCCGCTTAAACAAGTTTCCCGCTACGTACCTACAGCAAAGAAAAGTCAGCAACATAATATTGACGCGGTTACGCCAGGCTCCGTAGTTGCCTTGCATGTTAAACATACCAATCTCTTTTAACCACAGATATTGCTTTAAAAAAAAAAAAAAAAAGTAAACAGAGAAAAGATCCCACAAGATCTGAAGTTTGGTAAGACTACTACACTTTGGGTCCGATAGACTTCGATGGTTTAGCTCTCTCAAATAGTTTTCTCGGTCAATTTTTTGAAGACCTACATTAGAACAATGATTAAAACCAAGACAAATTCAGCATACATGCATGCTTTTTTTGAGCTCCAACTGGCCGAGCAACGGGATGAATTTTACTTTTTCCAAGGAAATTTAAAAACCCGTTGCCTAGGAGTCAAAGTACATTTATTTTGAAACAATAAACCAAAGCACTCTCATTTGCGAGAAAAAGAATTCGCCCACTTTTACTGAAGTTCATCAAATTGGCTTCCAAATCAAGAACGAAGGCCTTTCTCAAATAAAATGAATATCTCCTTTAACCGAGCAATCATGTCTTACGCCCGTAGCAATAAAATGATTGAGAAAGCACACTGCCAGTTACGTAGAGAAAGGCTGCCAACTCTCCAAGAGAAAGGGTGTTTGTTATCAGAGTTACTTTTCCTTTAAACCAACGTATTCTCAAAAACACTTACTTTGAATCAAGAGTCCAAACCACAACTTTTAGAGTTCCGAAAACCCAGGGCATCAAAAAAGTTTTGCTTTGCTGCAGCAAATCCAAAGTCATTTTCTTTTGCACCAAGGCACACTTATCTTTCAAAATAATCGATAGAACACGCCTTCAGTTTCTAAAAAAATTACTTGACCTCCACTTACTTTTCCAACTGCTACAATTTCCCTGTGGGGACACCTGCAGATTTATTTCGAAAGCAAAAGATCAAGAGAAACTTTAATTAAACCAACATAGCAAAGAATAGTTACTTCCAACTAAAAGATCAAGGGACATTTTGCTAGAGAAAGAATTATCCAAGGGACATTTTGCAAAATCTCACATTGCCCCAAAAAATTGAGGAACATTTGCTCAGGGGACCAACAAAAAAAATCGTTTTCAAAAAATAAATGGACAGGCTAGCTTTCGAAAAGATTAATCGAGGCCTTTTACTTTCTGAATACGGGACTCCGAATGATATATTTTCGCAGCAACAGACCATGGGTTTCAAAACCTTCAAAACACATCTCGTATGCCTTACGTAAACTAAATATTGAAAGCAAGTTACCGTGTCAGAAGTGGTGCTGTCACAATATCCTCGAATCTTTGTCAATGCAAGTTTTTCTAAAACTTGGAACTGCGAGAGGGACCCAAGCAGATTTACATTGCCCCAAGAAATCAAAATTCATTTTCTTGTGCATCAAGTCACACATTTATCCATAAATAATGCATAAAAACAGCTTTTAGGTTTTAAAGTATAAATTGAGTCTCCTTTACTTCCCAAACCAGGAAACTTCCAAAACAGGAAACTATTCTTTTGTATATATATTTTTTTAAAAAAACTATTCTTTAACAAAAGCCAAAAAGCTTTAAAACCACGTGCCGAAAAAATATTTACTTGCAATCAAAAGATCCAAACATATTGCTTTCTATGTTCCAACCAACCAAGAGAACAGAGCAATTTTACTCTTCCCCAAAAAACAGAGAAACTTCTGCTTGAATACCGAGGGGCACACTTATTTTAAAAGAATCAGTAAATACAGTGTCGGTTTCAAAATATCGAATCGGGGCACCTCTACAGAGGAAAAACGCTGCAACTAGATTATCGATGTGGCTTCAAAATAAAGAACGGCAACCTCTTCCACGTATAATGACGATTCCCATAACCTAGCACGAAACTTTTTCTGTCCGCGCTAAAAATAGATTGGGAGAGCATATTGCCACCACTAAGTGAAACGTCGCCTAACTCTCCAAAAGAAAGTGCGTGATCAAAGAAACTCTCACTTTCAAACCGACGCACCCAAACTTTGGCTTGAGATTTTAAGCCACATCTTTTTGAGGCTGTACATCTTGAGGGTTGCAAGCAGTTTCATTTTGCCACAAAAAATCAAGATTCACGTTCTCATGCACCGAGGCACATAAGTTTGTTTTGAAATATCGACAAAAACTTCCACTTTCAAAATGAAATATTGCCTTTCCTAGGACTAAAGGGTAGTTAATATGGAATTGAACCTCTTACATTTTGGACCCAGAATCTCAAATAAAACATTCATTGTGAATGCAAGGGCTGCACAAATAATGTTTTCTACTCAAAGAGACCCGGCCAATTTTGATCCTTCACCAACTATATTTCATAAATGAAGCTTCAAAACACACAGCAACAACCTTTAACTTTCAAAATGAAATATTGGCTTTCCTGGTATTTTGGGACTGAAAAGGTAGTTACTATGGAATTGAAGCTCTTACATTTTGGACCGAGAATCTCAAATAAAACATTCATTGTGAATGCAGGGGCTGCACAAATACTGTTTTCTACTCAAGAGACCCGGCCAACAGTGATCCTTCACCGGCTATATTTCATGAATGAAGCTTCAAAACACATATCAACACCCTTTAACTTTCAAAATGAAATATTGGCTTCCCTAGTATTTTGGGACTGAAATGTAGTTAATATGGAATTGAAGCTCTTACATTTTGGACCGAGAATCTCAGATAAAACATTCATTGTGCATGCAAGGGCTGCACAAATACTGTTTTCTACTCAAGAGACCCGGCCCACAATGATCCTTCACCGGCTATATTTCATGAATGAAGCTTCAAAACACATACCAACAACATTTCTCCAATAAACTAAATCTGAAAGTTCCCAAAACCGAGCATACATATCTTTTGTAAATGGTTATCAAATACTAGAAAATCCAATTGCAACGTCTAAGAGAGAAAGGGTGCCCATCACGATAGCTTTCACTGCAGAAGCGACACACATAAAACATATTTACTAGGAATCAAAATGCTCAAGACACATTTTCTCACAGTTGGTGCTACCCGGGGGAACAGGGAACATTTTTTGTTTTCTCAAGAATGGGAAATTTTCTTGTTCATCAAGCTCATTTATTTTTTAAAAGATTTACAAAACATGCTTTCAGTTTCTGAGCAATAATTCAGGACCGGAACACCATAAAAAATTATTTTCTACCAAAGGAAGCAAGAACCTTAAAACAATGCCCAAAAATATTTACTTGCTGTTAGAAGATCCAAGCACATTCTTTTTAAGTTCCAACTACCCGAAGGACATGGGGAATTCTACTTTCTCCGAAGAAATCGTAAAATTTTCCATTAAACACGGACGCAAATTTATTTTGAAACAATAAATCAATTTACTCTCACTTTCAATAAAATAAAGTAGGGCACTTTTACCGGGACACAAAATCAATCTAATGTGGCTTCGAAATAAAGAATGACGACCTTTCTCGCATCAGATAAAAATCCCGAGAACACAGCATCCTCGTTCATATGGGACTACGAACCATAGACAGAACCAAGATTACGGGAACATGGTTCCCACATAAAAGACACCCTAGTACGAGGCAAGCATCTCATGCATCCTAGAAACCTTTCTCTTGACTACAACAAACGTCAAAAAAAAATGACCTCCAGCTTTAAGAGCAGACTAAAAGAAGTGGGGCCCGGGGGGCAAGGAAGCTGAGGACTTCCATGCTGAGATATTAAAGATGATTAAAAGGGAGCGGGGCGGAAGAGAATTACCTGAAAACCAACATAAGAACTTGTTGGTAAAGTAAACGCGCAGCATCAATTTCTAAAAAGTTGCCATATTTCCCGATCTGGCTGGCCTGCCGCCTCTGACAAATTATTGCTCAAATACAACCAAAAAGCGTGAGAGAAATATTATTTGAATCTAGCAGACTTGTAGAAATTTTTGTAATGCGCAGCAGTACCCCTTTGGTACCAACATTAAACAAATACGTAACTTTTACTTCCAAAGAGAAATATTTGAATCCAGCACCAAGTGATACGAGTGTAAATAGAGATGTCGCGTACCTCTCGAACCAGCAATCCACACCCTTACCGAGCGAGCGTTATAATATTGTCAGAATATGGTCCCTGTAAATCAAAAAACAAGAAAAGGGATCAAGACATACTGATACAACTCCCGCGAACATCAAACAAAAAATAAACTGGTAACAAACGTCGTACGGAACAACATTATTAGTTTCCAACGTGGGAACTATGTTTCTTTATGCACTTTGGATGGAATGACTTTGCAGGGACTATGGACCAGACGGAATCAAGATTTTGGGAACACGGTTCCCACATAATAGACACCCTTGTACGAGGCAAGCATCTCATGCATCCTTTAAACCTTTCTCTCAACCACAACAAAACTGCTGGACAGGCCAAAAATAATGACCTTCAGCTTTAAGATGAGACTCAAAGATGTGGGGGACAAGGAAGCTGAGGACTTCCATTCCGAGATCTTAAAGACGAATAAAAGGGAGTGAAACAAAAGAGAATTACCTGAAAACCAACATAAGAACGTGTTGGCAACTAAAAGGCGCAGCATCAATTTCTAAAAACTTGCCATATTTTCAGATCTGGCCTGCTGCTTCTAACAAATGATTGCTCAAATACAAGCAAAGAGCGCCGAGAGGAACAAAGCACGTCACATTATTTTAATCCAGCGGACTTGTAAAAATTTTGTAAGTGCGCAGTGCCCCCTCGGTACCAGTATTAATACACATACGTAACTTTTTATTACAGAAGAAAAACATATGAATCCAGCACCAAGTGATACGAGTGAAAATAGATATTGCAAACCTCTTGAACCAGCAATCCATAACCTTACCGAGCGACGATTACAATATTTTCAGAATATGGTCCAGGTAAATCAAAGAACAAGAAAAGGGATCAAGACATATTTATGCAACTCCCATGAAAGTCACGCAATAAATTAACAATAACTGGTAATAAACATAAAATACCGAGCACTGTTATCAGTTTCCAGCGTGGGAACTAGGTTTCTTTATGCACTTTGGATGGAACCGGACAGAATCAAGATTATGGGAACACGGTTCCCACATGGTACACACCCCCTCCTTGTACGAGGCAAGCATCTCAAGCATATCCTGGAAACCTTTCTCTTGACTGCAACAGAACTGTTGGACGGGCCAAAAATAATGACCTTCAGGTTTAAGAGGAGACTAAGAGATAGGAAGCTGGGGACTTCCATTCTGAGATCTTAAAGAAGATTGAAAGGGAGCGAAACAAAAGAGAATTACCTGAAAACCAGCATAAGGTCTTGTTGGTTAAAGATGATTAAACGCGCAGCACCAATTTCTAAAAACTTGCCATATTTCCAGATCTGGCTTGCTGCCTCTGACAAATTATTGCTCAAATACAACCAAAAAGCGTGAGAGAAACAAGAACGATACATTATTTGAATCCAGCAGACTCGTGAAAATTTTGAAAATGCGCACAGGCACCGATATTAATACACGTACGTAAGTTTCTTTTTTCGAAAGAAAATATTTGAATCCAGCACCAAGATGTATTGAGTGTGATTTTTTATTTTAAATTTTGAATTTAACTATCATCAAAAACATTTTTCTTCTTTGCTCGTCTAACTACATAAATATTTTTCAAATACAATTTTTTTTTTTTATAATGCCGAAACCAAATTAATAATTCGTTTTATTTTTTTTTATCTCAACTAATAAAAGCAAATCACCAAAACCAGTTGGAAATTACTCAACAGCTCGTGCAACATTTGGATCCATTGCTTTGTAAGAGCCCAAAAGAGTAATACTGAGACAATTACACAGCAGGCTGAGGGTAATTTAGCATTTTCGGCCGGATCAGGAGACGGCAGAGGCGGAAGGAGGAAAGAGAGTCTCAGCGCTTTTATAGAGGAGCTGAGCTGCGTCTCCGTGACGCAACCTCTAAATCGCCGCAAGAGAGAAGACTCGGAAGTAGAAGAGCCCTATTTTCTGCACTCTTCCGTTCAGAGAGAATGAAGACCGCCTCCAATCTCTAGAAGATCGGAGCGGGACCAGATCTGATGGGCAATCAAAAAGAAAACCTTACCGGATCAGGATACGGCAGAGGCGGAAGGAGGAAAGAGAGTCTCAGCGCTTTTATAGAGGAGCTGAGCTGCGTCTCCGTGACGCAACCTCTAAATCGCCGCAAGAGAGAAGACTCGGAAGTAGAAGAGCCCCATTTTCTGCACTCTTCCCTTCAGAGAGAACGAAGACCGCCTCCAATCTCTAGAAGATCGGAGCGGGACCAGATCTAATGGGCAATCGAAAGAAAACCTTACCGGATCAGGAGACAGAAGAGGCGGAAGGGGAAAGAGAGTCTCAGCGCTTTTATAGAGGAGCTGAGCTGCCTCTCCGCGACGCAACCTCTAAATCGCCGCAAAAGAGAAGACTCAGAAGTAGAAGAGCCCTGTTTTCTGCACTCTTCTGTTCAGAGAGAATGAAGACCGCCTCCAATCTCTAGAAGATCGGAGCGGGACCAGATCTAATGGGCAATCAAAAAGAAAACCTTACCGGATCAGGAGACGGCAGAGGCGGAAGGAGGAAAGAGAGTCTCAGCGCTTTTATAGAGGAGCTGAGCTGCGTCTCCGTGACGCAACCTCTAAATCGCCACAAGAGAGAAGACTCGGAAGCAGAAGAGCCCTATTTTCTGCACTCTTCCGTTCAGAGAGAATGAAGACCGCCTCCAATCTCTAGAAGATCGGAGCGGGACCAGATCTAATGGGCAATCAGAAGAAAACCTTACCGGATCAGGAGACAGCAGATGCGTAAGGAGGAAAGAGAGTCTCAGCCCTTTTATAGAGGAGCTGAGGTGCGTCTCCGTGACGCAACCTCTGTGCTTTATAAACACGCGGAACCTCAGGGGCAGAAAAAAGGAAACCCAGAGACCGAAGATGAGGAGCGGCAGAGAGAGAAAATTAAAAAGATAAATATTTTTTTTACTGCCTTACTGAGTTTTCCATTAAAAATAATTTTATAAATAATTGTGAAAATATGTTATTATTTATACAATAATAATAACATTTATGCTTAATAAAAATTCATGTAACTTTTGTAATTTTTTATTTTAAATTTATAAAAAAATAAATTTTCAATTTAACTATTATCAAAAACATTTTATATTTTACTCACCCAACTACAAAAATATTTTTTTTTAAATACAAATATTATA